CGAATGCTGGGCAGGATTGCCTGGGTGACACCACACTACTGCTATTTACTTCTTAAGCTTGACATAAATTGTGGCATCAGTCAAACCACTGAGCAAAACTGACCGGTTAAATAGCTCTAAAGAGTATTTATATTTGAGGAAAGGGGAAAAAAATAAACATTGTTGGCTTTTTTTGTTCCTTCCTTTTTCCCTTAAATGAACACAATGCTATTGGTTTGTAAAAGTGCAGAGAGCAGGGAGGCTGCCTGCTCTGGGAGCCAGTACCTGATACCTCCAGTATCACTGCTGATTGCAGGTACCTACAGAGTGAAAAAAAGTGTTCACAGGAATCCATGGGATAGTTATGCCACAAGAAACTGCCTCAAAAGCTGAGGTTAAAAGGCCAAAAGACACAATTATAATGTATCACAGGAAATAAAGGGTGAACAGATCAACTATTTAGCCAATGTATTTACCTACTCTGGAAGGGAGTGTGAGGAAGGCTACACAAGTATATAGAGAGTGGCTAGCTTCCTGCACTACAGAGTAGGGCCTTGTGACTGGAGAGGGGATATCCCCCCTTCACAACATGTGCCATGTCACTTTTGACACAAGTTACCACTTACTCTTCTACATTAACCTTCTGTATGTGTATATACACACACATAGATACACACATTTTTTTAAAATAGACACATTTCCTAGAAGGGAAAAAAATTACTCTATCCCTATCTGTGTGGTCTGCTCTCATCCTGAAAGGAATTCTTATCATAAAAGACATAAGTTTTCAGTCTTTTATTCTTTCGTTATTTTGAAATAAAAGAACACTTGGCTCCAAGGTCATTAGTTTGTGAGTTTAATACAGTCCTGCTTTTGCTGTAAGACTTTGATTAGACTAAGAGACTTTGTCTTTAGTGGACTACAAAGAAACTGCCATGAACTGTAAGTTCCTCACTAACAGGATTGTTTAAAAGGCCATTTCAATGTAACTTGATTTTTATGGGTCATGCTCTGAGTGCAGCTGGTTTGAAGAGGAATACTTCCTATGTGTCACACAGGACTCTGTCACAGACGTCACGAAAACACATGCCCAGCCCAGCCTTAGGGCAGATTTGTAGGCAGGTTAAACAATTTTCCATCTCTCTCCCTACTGTCAGAGGCTCTGGCTGTCACACACAGGAGTGCTATACTGCAGTCAGTTGCCAGTGAATAGGTAATAATGACTCCAGTTTGCTACTTTAGTGGTGAGTTAGGGGAGATCCCTTAGTCGTGTGATGTCACATCTTAGTCTTACATTCTCTTTGCAGAAAAATAAAAACAATTGTCCTTTGTACCTTTGTAAAATGTTTTTACTGAATACTTTTTTCCTCTTTTAGGCTGTGTTTGAGTAAACAATTTGTGCTTTCAAGGATCACTGTTGATTTCAATATGACTGTGGATGCTGTGAAAACTGAACTCAGCCAGACACCTAAGCACTTTGCAACCACTGGGTAGTTTGGAGATTTGGGGTTTTTTAAGAAATTGCCCCTGATTGTCTTGCATACCATCCATTCAAAGGCTTGCCTGTAACAGAAATGATGCTCCGATTGCCAGCTGGATTTCCTGCAATAGCTAGCAGTAGAGCTAACAGTATCATTCATTACAAACAAACAACGTAGTAACAACCCTATCTTCTCTCTTGATGACATATAATAAGATATGCATTATGAGCAATCATCTGTTTGTGTGTATTTATACTGTAAGACAAATCACTTGCACAAACACTAGCCAGCAATCCCTTTTTTTTCTCTTTGTAGCTGCTGCCACAGGTATTATTTGCTCTCCTCTGCAGAGGATCTGAGTCTGCTGAGTTAGCTGTTTGATTTGAGCAGCAGTGGTTTGTACTCTTAGTGCCATAGATACCTGTATCCAAGATGGTGTTCTTTGGGTTTTCCATGAGCAGGTGTGCATTTTTTGCCAGGTATGAATAAATTGCTCATGCAAATTATGCAACCAAAACCCAGATTAGTGTTGCCTATTGTGCACAGTATGTGACTGATCACCTAAACTGAATGGTTTTATTTTATTTATCCATCTTACCTGAATGACAGCCTTAGCAGGTATATGTTCAGCCCAAAGGACAAGAATAGCAATGGCTTTCTGTCAGAAAACAGCACTTTATTACTGGAATTCATCTGCAAAGAATGATGATGAGTAAGGTCATCACCAACAGGATTTCCTAGAGAGAGTGTAGAAGAGGATGCACAGTTCATTGCAGGAGACAGAGTCTTGTCCTTTTCCCTCATCTCTGCAATCCCCTGATCACAAAGGATGAAGCCCAACACCAGAAGGGTTACTGCCTTCTGCCACTGACAAGTTTCCCTTTTGTTCCTTTTACTGATCTAGAGATGCTCATAACCTCAACAGCTGCAGCAGTGATTTGCTTGAGGTGAAAGACAAAAAAAAAAAAAAAAGTCATTGTAAATGGACGTATTTTCATTGCCTGTTAAAAAAACCCTAAACTGTCACCTCTGTACCTGTGAATGGGAATGTTAGAATGAAAGCCAAGTCATTCACCAAATCTCTGAAACATCCCCCACATGCAAGGGTTATTTAATTCTGTTGAAAACTAATCTTTAAAAAACTTAATATTTAAAAACCCTTATCTTGCAAAAACAGTTTAGAGGTTCTTATCTTCCTAACTCTCTTAATTCTTTTCCTTAATGGTGAATTCTTCAAGCCTTCCAAAGTGTCATGGCCTGCTTGTGCCTTGCCTTAATCAGATCTGTATCTTCCATTCCTTGAATCGAAACAAAGCCAATAACCTATCCCACTCTTAGGAAGCCAACACACTCTCCTGATGCAGAAACATTCATTTTTAAGCAGTCCATTAAAAGAGGTATGTCATCCAAGTTGTTCCAAAGTTAGATAGCAGATTGGATCATAAAAAATTATTACCCTCAACAGCACTATCTGCTGGATGAGGTCACTACTGTATTATGGTTTCTTAATAACCTTTTTTTCCCTGTATGAGGCCAACAAATCTGCAACATTTTTCCCTGAACTGCTTAGTGGCGTGAAATCTCTTCTGGCTAAATGGATTTGTTAGTAGTAAATGTTCTGCTTTTTCTGGTGGTTTTCTATTTTTTTCAAGACAACTGATTTTTTAGATTGTGGGGAATGGCAAATGTACTGCTGACCACCCAAAAAGAGCACAAGCAAAACCAAACCAAATTTTAAAAGCGTGAGACACCTGCCATGTTGTTAAATCTTCTAAACTGTAGATAGGAAAGTGAATTGAGTACTGTCATACAAATACATCGTAGGGGATGAATGCTTCTGTTCTATTGTTCTAGATATGTCTACAGATATTTTATAATGTGTTATTTTTAAAGAAAACAGGAAGATAATAAACAGTCTTTGAGATATCCCTTGCAATGGCTGTGTACCTCGCATGGTGTGAAGGAATTCCTGCCTCAGTTGAAGCGTTTCATTGCTGCTGAAAATTAAATAGTAACGTGGAACATATTCACGTGAGAGCTTGTGGTGCAGCACTGCTAAACAAATCCAGCTCTCATTACACCCTACCAAGCACCTATTATCAGTCCTCATGTAATTTTATTGTTTTACTCTCCAGTCAGTTTAGAGCTCCTGGAGTGGAAGAGAGCTGGATTTCTTCCATAAGAAAACCTTGAGGAAACAGGAGGGAAAATTTCTTATTAAACTAAAAAAATAATCAACCACTAAGATTTTTTTAAAATTGAAAAGGTCAGATGAAAAACTTACCTTCTTTTACAAGGCTTTTGTTTGTCTTAAATGGGTCAGTAATTTGTCAGGTATGGTTTAATTGTTACTTAGAAGGGAGTAGAATACTTTTTATATTCCTCATAATAATTTTTGTGATTATTTTTTGACTGTGCACTTGACATTATAATCTATTGTTTTACCTCAGGCCTATTTGAATCTATTTGCAACCATCATAATTTCAAAAGAACAAGTGTCATCCAGTTTGCAATCTTACTACTTATCCGAGGTTTCATTTCAAAGATGTGCACAGTTATCTTGCCATTAAAATCCAGGAGGCCATCACACTATCACTGAATTACTTCTGTAATACAAATTTTACTTCCTGCAGCTGACCTCAGCCTGGGAAAATGACATTTTTGCACCATTTCCAAAAAATCGGCAATGGGGAATCTTTTGGCATAGCTGTCTTTACCTTGACCTTCCTGGTCAGTGCCAGCATAAGGGATGTAACTGGGACAGGTTGCACTGCAGTAATGCCCACTTGGTTCACCAGGAAAGCTCCTGAGCTATCAATTACACCAGAGCCTGAGACCTCTCTTTGCCATCTCGCAGATTAAGGAAGCAAAGAAATGTGTGCTCTGGACTAGCAGGAGATGCATTCTAGTGTGTTGATAACAGTAAACTGACCATTCATTTTCTGCAGTTCTGTGACTGTAAGTGGGCATTAACTCGGTTCAGATGAGATTAAATAGTTTTTTTTTTCTCCAAGGTGGGAAAGTATTCTTCATTTCTGTGGTCTCCAGCTCCTGTTAATAAGGGTACATCTGCTGGTGGCTTAGATTTAATCTCTGTACTTCACATTGGGTCTAGACAGCAGTGTCCTATTGCTGAAGTTGTGTCATATTTCTTGAGAACTTTTTAGCTATCTTTATTTCAGTCACCTTCATCCCCTATTTTCTTCACTGAGTTAAAAGGTTTCCTTAAGTTTCTATTAGTAATTTGTAATTTCTGAAATCCAATAGCCCATGGTGAATGGACCCTGATTTCAAATGCACAGGGCATGGTGACAGCAGGAGGTGCAGGGCTGCCACTACAGATACAAACTCCAGCCTCAGAAGGTGTCTATTCCTGACTGTTTTGTTTGGCATGGCAGTACTCGGCAGTATTTCTGGGGTCTGTTTTCTTATCTGACACCTAGCTTGGGTTTAGCAAATAAATTCCTAGTGAATTTTTCACTTGTCCATTCTCTACTTCACCATGGCTTGAAATATCTTGACTTCTAAATTATTTTTCAGAGAGATCTCACAGAATGATGCCTTGGAGGTCATAGAAGCAAATGTGTTTTCCAACCTTCCCAAACTACATGAAATGTAAGTAATGAGCAATCTAAATGCAAAGGAGACAATTATAAAGATTCATTATAGGCATATCAAAGGTTCTGCAGTTTGGTTCAGGTAAGCACTGAGGTATTCATAGTGGTATAGGAACATTTGAAATCACTCTTTGTCTCTTCCATCTTCTTATCGAACTGTCCTTTTCTGTACCTGGTCAGCCTAAAACTTATCCTCAGATCACTGCCAGTATCAAAAGGTGCTGGGGTCTGCCAGTCTGTGGTAGGCTGGTCTTTGAAATCATGCAGATCTTCTGCTGTCAAAAGAAAATCTCGGCATATTATTCCACTACACCACAGGACAAACACAATTTTAAGATCAATATATTGATGTATTTTCTCTGATGTTTCATTTCCTCTTTGCAGAAGAATTGAGAAAGCCAACAACCTTGTGTACATTGATGCAGATGCCTTCCAACACCTTCCAAGCCTCAGATATTTGTAAGATCTTTTTCTCTTTGCAAGTACTATAGTCACTTTGAATGACACACGTGTTTCTGTGCTGAGCACTTCTGGTGATTCCCAGGATGATGCCCTCTCCTTGCTACGAGCTGCACATTGTCAGTCCACATTTTCATGCCTTCAGTCCTCAGAAAAGCTGAATAGCTTCCAAGGAGTAGTCCCACACACAAATTCCTCGAGCCTTTCTAAGCAACACGTTGAAACTGAATGATGAGAAGAGGAGCTGGACCATTTTATGTCTATAGAAACAGATTAAAGTTGAAATTCCTCCTGAGAGCTTTGGGACAAAAAATCTCTCTCATCTGTCTTTACCATGTTTCTGCCTTCTGTTATGTGTCATACACATGGCCTTAACCATTCAAATTCCTATTTCTTTAACAAAGGCTGTGCTGTAGCTGTGGTTTTCATTAATGCTTGGTGTGAGATGATTAAATCCCTAAAATACAAACATATTGATGTATGGCATAGCTTTATTTCATCAACTAGCCTCACTGAGAATGTCATTTGCACAACTGTGGTTGCCACATCTGCTTCCATGGGGTTGCCATCAAAATTCAGTGCTAATTAAATGCATCCTTAAAATAAACTGTTACTCAAATATATTTTCACAGCTTTTGGTGCATGTTTTTAACATGACTAATAATCTCTCCTCTACATCGAAACCACAGTGAAGTCCAATGAACTCCGTTTAACAGTAATGGTTTTTAATCGTCATAGCTTAAACAGCTTAAGTGGTGCTCTTTGGTGACCCATAGGCACCCAGCAGGATACCAACTTAACTTTTGTGTGGCTGTCCACCTGACCACATATACCCCTTCGTATTCTCCTGACTCACGCAAGAAACCTTACTCATACAAGAAGCCTTGTTTTCCTTACTCATCTAAGAAGCCTGACCATGATTTCTACATTTCAGTACATAAAAATAAGTGTTTCATTGTCTGTTTAGATATTTCTTAAAGATATGTATGGAGTCAGAAAGTATGAAATCAGGTCAGTGGTCTAATAAGCATAGCTCCCAGTAAGTTAATGAGTATATAAAGTCTTTGAAAATCACTAGTATATGACAGGTTCTGGGCTCAAAAATGCCAAGAGGCATTGCTTTGAATTTGTACTAGAAGATTTGAGATTTAAGATTTGGACTTTAGGAGATAAGATATATTTAGCACTACATAAACCATTATAGTTTAAACCCTCATTGAACTGTGGTCAGAGTTGTAGTAGAATTGTTGCTCTCCCCAGGATTTTGACTGATTTCTGCTTTGCCAAATTCATCAGGCACCTTGATTAACTTTTCTATGTGCATAACTGAAACACAGATTTTCTCTTGACAGCAGGGAAATGAAGCTTTAAGTTTGCATTTTCATGAGGAGAAATCATATGCCTTTTTCCTCTTATTTTGAGCCTAAGTCATTCAGCGGTGACTACTGTCTTTGAGTAGCTCTGCCTACCTATGAACGAAACCACAGCATTTGTTTATGCCATGTAAAATCCCCAGAGCAAGCTGCTATGGGTAGTACAGTTGTCGGATGTACAGAAGAGTAGAAAGAATGAGGGTACATTTATCTCATACAAAATTGAAGAAGAAAAAGTGTAAACACACTAATGAGCACACTAATTTCAGTGGTTGTTTAAACATGGGACGCAGAAACCATAGCTCGTGAGGAAAAGGAAAATTCCCTCTTTAAATACCTGAAGTAGTGAAAGTTTTTCTCTTGACTCTAAGTGGATATTGCCTCTTTTGGAAGTTTGTCATTCCACACTCCCATACATGTGGACTCAAATATTTAGAGATTCTACATGAATAAAAATTCAGCTGCAGCAGCAACACTATGGCCTATAGAAGCAACAGATTAAAAATACAGAGGATTGCTTGTCTACCTCACCATTCCCCCTCCTCTTTATCTAGCTTTACTTGCTAGCGGTTATCAGAGGGAAATGTATTTTGAGTGTTTTTTAAGCTTTTTTCTCTTGTGGGCATACAGGGCTAGAAGAGACTCTCCACACTACTGTATTCCATTTTGTCCTGAATCCACTTCATATATCCCAATAATTAAGTGCTTTATTGACATTCTTGATGCTCTTCACTGTTCCCTGCTTTCCTCTTTTTTCTGGGAGAGGCTTTTCCAGAAACTCAATGATTTGATGACTAAAACATTTCCTCTAATTTTATACATGACCACTTAATTCACATTCATTCTCGTGCCAAAGCTTTTCTCTAATTTATGCTGAGAAAATTCATCTTTGGTGTTTACTCCACTAATGGATTTAAGCTGCATTCCTGCTGTGCCTACATTTTGGGAGGCAAACCCCCAGTCTTGTAGGACTATAAATAGTACAAAAGGTGTGGGCTTCACAGCCCAAAGCTTCTGAGCAGATGAATGTAGGTGTTGTGCTAATGACAGGATTTGTGGAAGCTGTGCTAGGCATACAGATCAGTGCAACACTGCTGGCTTCAGTGGAGCTACACCATTTCTCACCACAGGGACCAGGAGCAGGACACAAAGTCCCTGCTGGAGCCTTTTAGGTAGCAGTAGGCCCAGGTGTGATGCTGAGTTACATCATGCTCAGATCACTCTCTCTGCATACAGCCGCACCTTCATGTTCTCTCTTGGTACATTTCTGTAGGAAAGACTGCCATTTTCTCCATCCCCTGGTTTCTCCCACTAGTGCTTGCCCTTGTAGAAACTGAAAAGGCAAGAAAACATTACTGTTTGAAAGAATAGGATAGTTAATTTAATGAGAGAGCAGAAACCTTGATGGAAGGCTGTAAAACAGCATCTGGTAAAGGTAACCCAGTCCTCATATTCACCTTCCTATGGTGTGCAAGGAAGGGTCAGTTAGTGAAAATACAAGGCAAGATGCTGAGGGAGTAAATGGATTGATGGTTTTTCAGTTCAGTTAGTTTTTGTTTTGGTTTGGGTTTTTTTGTGGTGGTTGGTTGGGGTTTTTTATACAATACAGAAGTAAATGGTTGTAAACATGTGGAACTATAATTTAAAATAATTCCGAAACAGGTTAAGCACCTATGTGGATAGAAAAGCTACGAACAGCTATTGCAGAAATGATAAAAATTTTAAGGCCGTGAAAGAAAACTTGTAAACTTTTGTACATTACAGCCTAATTTTCACATTAATTGCTGGAAGATAGGAGTAGGACATTGTTTCATCAATATCTTGACACAAAACAGATTAGGAGATTCTGTCTGACCATGCCAGGAGGTATAGCCAGACCCAGCTGCAACAAGCATGACAAAGCATGGAGACTTGGGTACCTGCCTACTGTTGGATCATCGTGGTTCTTCTGAAGCTATGATGGTAGTCTGGCAGCGTACAAGACATATGGTCTAATTCCTTACACAGTACTGTGACTGTGACAAAACTGTTAAAACATAATTGGGAAAAATCTTCCAGAAAAATATATATTTACTGACAGCTTTCATATAAAAACACAGAGACTAAAATTAATCAGTCTTAATGCCGAGACTGAGTCCAGGTACCACAGCCCGTCAGTTTAACACATTGCTTGCAATGCTTTCTCTGTGCTTCTTCAAAAATAGTTGTATAGCCACTAGGCCTTATTTATGGGCAGACAAGAAGCTCAGGCTAGCTTTGTCATCCTCTCATCAGGTTCTTGGGCTTTTTACAGCCACCAGCTGTTGAACATGAATATGCTTTTATCTCTGTCACCTTGGGTACAATTACATTTCCTGCTCACCCCACTCCCTTTGTCTGCTGCACCTCAACATTAATAATAATAATGGCCAGTCTTTGCAAGCAAAGATCTGGGGAAGGTCTTTACACCTTCCAGCCTGCGCATTGGATTTTTTAGGTGAGACACAGTGTGCGTGGAACTGAGCCCACCCTTTAATCCTAAGGTTCATCTGCCGGGGCCAAGTGAGCTTGGACGGTGGCAGTGAAGTCCTTAGGATGTAGATGGATTGCCTTTACAGGGCTAACGAGCCCCACCTGCCCAGGAGTGTCCCTGACCGGGAATCGAACCTGGGCCTCGGCAGTGACAGCGCCGCACCCTTAACCACTAGACCACCAGGGGCTCCCAACCTCAGCATTACTAGTATGGTAAAAACACTAAGGAGAGAAAAATACTGAAAAATGCAAAGATGAATAACCTAGACCTTCTAGAAACACACAAGTTTAACTTTCTCACCAGTCTTTTAGAAGGAGTGAAGAGAACTACTAATTGGTCTTCTAGGGTATATGCCAGAGGGACAGACTGTTTCAGAAAGGTAACTTACTGACCTTTTCATGGGTACAAGATTATTTATCTGGCTCTCATTAAGGAGACCTGTGGCATTGTCTGTTTAATAATGTAGTGATGGCTTTTCAAACCCATTTTCTTTCCAAAATTAGTTCTCATATGTAATCTGTGTCCTTCAGTTCTTTTTTAGTGGGGTGTTGATGCTCTGTATTAAGCAATCTTAGTTTACAATAGAAAGATTTAAATGCAACACTCCTTTCAGGTCAATTTTGAGAGCATACAGCTGAGTTGTTGGAGGGGAGGGGCAATGTAGGTCTCCATGGTATGTGTTTTGTCTGCAAAAGGAGCAGAGCCCTTTTGCAGAACCCTCCAAAGTCTTGCAGCTGCTTGTACCTGCCTGGTCTTATTTCGTGGAGGACCTGACACACGGGTATCTGGCATGTTTCCTAAACCCAAGCCTATACTTGCTGCAGATGCAGCAAAGCCCACAAAATTACTGATCCTTTGCATGGAGTTGACTCTTCAACAAACAGAAGGGATGCTCCACTACTTCCTTCTGCATGGCAGCCTCACGGTTAAAGCCCTTCCCCCAGAAGTGGGTGTTGCAGATGTAAGGAGCCTGGGGTAAGTGAGTCAGAGGAATGTCTTGCTGGAATCAGGCTCACATGCAGCATGAAGTAACCAGTGTGATTAAGGGACACAAAAATAATGCTTCCTTAGTGATGTTGTATTTATCTCTGCCTACCTTGAGTTTGCAATTTAGCAAATACCCACAGTAAATTGATGAGGTAAACTGTGTTCCCAGATTTGTCAGAATAGCTCCTACAATTTGGCATAAAAAAGAGCAGACATCTTGTTATATCTGGAGATAAGCAGCCAGAATCTTCCAGGAATTAGTTTCGGAAAGATTTTTTTTTTTTTCTCTACTGATCGTGGTGCTATGTTTTCTTAAGTGCTGACTCTGGTAAGCCTTTTCAGAAAGACAATTAATGCTTTGGAAAGCAGCCATCAGCTGCCTGAAAAAAAAAAAAAAACAGGTTCTTACAAAGCTGTTTATGCATGGCAAGAGGGGGACTCAGTTGTAACACAGATTAAAGAGGACAATTGTTTAAAGTGAGGCTACTAAGGAGGTATACATTATATGGTAAATATATTGACAAAGCTGTCCTGCAGGAAAGATATTCAGTAAATTGTATTATCTGCATTCTAAAAAGATTATCCACTTAAAGGCCTCTGGAGATTTGCTGGTTGAATAAAAAGACAGGGAAGATCTAGGCTGCAGTCTAGCTAAATATTTTTTTAGTTCTTTTTCTGCATTTAATTAAAAGAACATCCTCTCCCGCTCCTAATCACCACTCTGTGCTTCTGTGCAATCAGTGCATTGTGCCACCTGTAGATTTACTTCAATATGTAATGATTTGTCAAAGATGCTTTCTTCTTCATCTCATGCTGATCAGTTGACACCAGTGAAAATTGAGCCCTGTACACTTTGGAAATACTGGAAAGATCTGAACTAACCCAAGGCATTGAGGATGTTTTTTCACACATGTATGGTGAAAGCCCTGCTAACCAATTTAGAATTTTGATATACTGGGTGGAAGTTGCCATTGGGAGCAGTGTTTGAATAATATTTGTTAGAGTACTGTCGCCTTTCATTGCTGCACCAGGAAGACTGAGATTTTCTTGGGAAAGCTTCTGGTGTCTTTTCCTCTGTCCTGCAATAGCCACACACTACTTGACAGCAATTTCCTTCTTCATTTACCTACTAAAGGAAATGCATGCCATAATTTGTAGTTAAAAGGGCCTTTTAAAAGGATTGCATCAATTTTTAATGTATGACTCATTTAAAATTAAAGGCAACTTTCAACTAAAATCTTGTATATCTCCAGTAATTTAAAGAGTGTATTTTAAAGTACTGTAAGGAGGAGTTAGATTCTTCTCCTATTGCTTCTAATTTTTGTCAGTGAACTCCTTTTATAAAGTGTAAGTGCAGAAGTACTTTAAGTAATAAGGGCCTTGTGTAATCCACCTGCTTCATTAATCATGCTTTCTATTTAACTGTATGTAATAGTTTTTCAAAGGCATTTCTGTAGAGCTTTCTTGGTCACATATGACAGCTGTTATTTTTAAGCTAATGCAATGTCAGACCATCCTGACTCCTGAGACGAAACAGTCATGACATTTCAGCAACTTTCCCAAATTAGCTTCTTGAATATTCACTATACTACTTTAATTTTTCCCTGCATATAAAGTATTGCTTTTTGTTATAAGATGAGACAGATCAAAGTTGGCTTTTCAGCATCTGAAGATACCCAGACACCATCTCAGGGAGCTCAGAGCAGTACTTATGCAAGTGAATGACTATTTTATGGACCTATGTGTCATCCTGAGTTCCCAAATGTAGGATTTGGTTGTCACATGCAGGCATTCAGTTTCAGTTCAGATTATGAAACCTGAAAGACTACACCTCTCCTGAAATAATCTAGGTTCATAAAAAATATCAGATGAATGATGTTACATTTTTCCAGTCTCAGCCAGTCCTTTCTGCTACAATTCAACTATTTCAGGAATGATTCTGGAAAAAAAACCAAACCAAAAAAACAGTCACATCTATTAATGAAGAACAAAAAATACCTTTTATATACTATTAATATGTTCCTTAAAGAACCAATATTCTCAGTGGAAGGTTACCTTCTCTACCATCTCATGTATTAAAACCACAAAGATATAAGCAAACTTTCAAGAATCCTTTTTTGTTTGTTTGTTTGGTGGAGTAAACATGAGACTTTTTGGTGTTTGTGAAAAGCTCCCAAATGGTCAGAGTCCAGGCTGGTCCAGCTCCTCCCTCCTGCACTCATCCCTCCTTTCAGCCATCAGCAGCCACCAGTCATCTCCTGCTGCATGGCAATATCATGTTGGTCCTGCCCTTGCTACTGCTCTGGATGACAAAATTAGACATGGTACAGCTCTGTGAATACCTGTGACCGTGTGTCCTCACTGGCTACGGGCACAGGATGGTCCTTCAGAGTCAGCATTTCTGGGATGGTGTTTCATGGACAGGAACTGCAATGCAGAGGTCATGATGCTCAGTGCAGTGGGAGGGTGGAGGTAGTTAACTATAGAGTCTCAGGTCCATTTCCACTTACACAGACTTCTGAAATGCTCCCATGTGTTTCGTTCCTCACTATCAGAGGTGCTGGGGAATAAAGCGACATAATTATTTCCTAATTTCATGAATTAATTGTATTTCCTATGGAATTAATGTATCCCCTATTAGAGTAGAAGGTTAAAATTGTGGTAATTGAGTTGATACTTTTGTCTTAAAACAGCTACTATGAAAAAAATTATCCTGTGTCAGTGCAGTTGATTTCTTAGAATACAGTTGGGAAATTAATACGGACAGTTCATCATCAGGAGGAACTGTGTAATTATCCAAGGTAGAGTTTCTCCTTTTATTTCAGTGGGACAGACTTCAGCTTGTAGTTTGGAGAAAAACCTCTTTAAATTACAATGTGAAGTTTCATATTGGCAAATCCCATGTTTGTGGCTAACCTCTGCCTTTTGTGGCTACCATTTTAAAAGGTGAGTGTTCTTTCTTCTTTATTAGTTATCAGTTTTTTCATGTGGCAGAGTGAATAATCTTTGTCTGTTCTCTCCCCCTTAGGTTAATATCAAATACTGGCCTTCGGTTTTTACCTGCTGTCCATAAAGTTCAGTCTTTCCAGAAAGTTTTGCTGTAAGTTTGAACATTTGCTTTTCAGTTTTTAAAAGCTCCCTTTGAAAGTTCTTCTGCTCCAAAAAAGCCTTTCAAGACATGATTCCCCTTGTGTTCATTTATTAGCTTCGCAGTAGCATTTTGGGCTGTAATTTTGCAGGCATTGATGATAATGTGGCTCCAAGGGTCTCAGTTCTCTCTAGGTGTCTCTTCTACAAAGCACTGTAACTTGCACTTTACAGACCACTCTTCCTTAAACTACACAAGGAGCATGTGTCTGGATGGCCCGGGGGACAGTAACAGCCTTTTACTCCTCTTTCTCAAGTTCAAATCCAAATCAGGATGGTGGCAGAGGAAATTTGTTGCCACTTGGTGACAGTTTTCTGGCCTGCATGGGAAGAGTCAGTGATCTCAGAGCTGTGTTCCATGAAAGATGGCCACATCACAGAAGAAAGAAGAAAAAATAAAATAAAAAAAAAATCTAAACTCAGGCAATTACCTTTTACCATGCTTTTTTTTTTTCCCCTTGCAGTAAAACTGTCCAGAGAATGGAAAATCTTTTCTATGGAAAATTCAAGTGCCAACAGGGAACAAAAATATTTGTGTAAAATTCTGTGTGAAAACAACCGTTTTTTTTCTGTTAAAGCACCTTTTATTCTGTTAAAAAACTGTGTATTAGATTGATTTTTTTTTTTCACTGACAAAAATGTTGACATACATTTTTTCAATCAGTTCTTAGTATAATTCAAAGCATTCTTTTGGACAAGAGTTATTAATTCACATGCGAAGTTCTACATCTTCAGATCTTTGACTGGAAGATTTCTAGCTGCAGAAACATTAATCCTGCAGTTGTCTTAGTAATAACCATTAATATAAATAAAAATGCATATAAAACATAGAGAGAGATGTCTGAATATAGTATACATACATATAAGACAAGAAATCCATTTCTGTAATACACTTGACATAGGTAATTCCGAGAACTTCACTCCTCAAAACCATAAAGGAAATGCAACAGAGCCTTCTGCCTGTATCCCTTGGTATCCCTAGTCTTAACTAGACTGGAATTACTGTGTCCTGCAGAGCAGGAGTTATTTGGTGTTTTTTTTTCAGGTGAAACTTCTCACTTTCCTGTAAGAATAAGAAGACCTTGATACCATTTGAATCCCAAACTAGGCCTTGGTTCAAACCCTGATCCCACTGGACTCAGTAATAGAATTCCCACTAGAATTTCCAATTCAGTTGTGCCAATATTTAAGTCCCAAAAATGGGTTTTGATGGGGCATCGATGTTTATAAAGGCCTCGTGCAGATCCTTAGTAGAGGGATACAGTTCTCTTTTATGGGTACCTTGCTCCCTCCCTATTCCTGCCTCTGCTGACCTCAGTTTGCAGAATGAAGACTCTCTGTAAGTGTCACTTAATAAAGAGTTGTGACTGCACTGAAGTGTCAGCATGAAATAATTTTGGAACCATACTTAATTTCAAGATTTGCAGATAATTAATTTTGTTCTGTGCTTTCCAACAGAAACAGCATGGAAACAGCCAGTCTAAATTATGAGTAATACTATTTAACTTCTTTGAGGTGTATTTTGAGCCAGCAAGAGAACATTCCTTTTTTCGTATCAGCCACAACTGACGAAAGACAGAAATTCCTACTTGTCAGTTCAACCAACTGCATTGACAGGGCTCTGTGTCTTAAGTTCTTAAGCACATATGAAGCTTATAAGCAACCCTGTTGACATCAGCAGGGGAATGATTCATGGGCTGGTAGGTACCCTGCTGAATTAGGCCAAAGAGGCTAATGGCTTTCCTTCTTCTGACTGGGAGGCTGTGAGAAGGGGTGGCCTCACAGCCCCTCAGATTGCATTTTCTGGGTAGTATGTTTGCTGGAGGAACTATTTCATCCACCTCAGGGTTATAGACCTGAGCTTTTATGCATTTTAATGACTTCAGCCTATTTGGGAAGAAAGTACGGGGGCGTTGGAAAGGTTTTGTTCCAGCCTTTTTTATCAGGAAGATTTGTGCTCTGCAAAAAAAATGTCTTGAAAACTTACATCATTACCCTCAGCCTATAGTAGGTCCTCAGATTGAATATAAGGGAAAATACTGTGTTTGAAACAGCATATTGTATTGAAAGGCTCACAGAAGTACAAAAAGGCGTAGTTTCTATTGTATTTTATTTTTCAGAGATATTCAAGACAATATCAATATACGTGTAATTGAAAGAAATTCATTCGTGGGCCTGAGTTCTGAAAGTGTGATTCTGTGAGTAGACATAGAAAATTCATTATTCTCCTTGTTAGCTCATTTCTTTTCCAGAGCAGGCTCAAGAAAAACAGCAGTTGAGCACTATTTCATATACTTCCAAATTCAATTTGATGTTTTAGATTTCTCCCCTGCCTCTGAGGTCTCCATATTCTGTTTTCCTGACATGAAAAAATGAATGTTTTGAGGTTTTTTGTTGTATTCTACTCCTGCTCTTTATTTTAAAAGCACAGGAGAGAGCAAATTTAGTAATTACTAATGCCAAGTTTAAACACCTACAGCAACAGTCCATGTGATACAAATTGTGTTCCAGAGGATGGCATGACTCATAAATATTTACATTCAGACATACCATTCAAAGAAGTTTATTACTTGGGCAAAACATGTGTAGATGTTGTGGAAATGTGGTATATTTGTACACAATGTTAATGCATTGATACAGGCGGGTTCATAATGCAGTTTCAAGCTGCATGGTTAGGTGACTACATTTGACTTGAGCAGTCATGTATTTTAATCAACTAGCTCTCTTCTTTGATCCTTTCTGTATATCAAAGCATACTGTTTCCTTGCTAACAAGCTGCCTTCATTTCACCTACGCAGTGGCCAGACTGGAAAAATTTCCCACTCTGTGTGTGTGGTTTACCTCACATACTGAAGGAGACAAGCAAGATTTGAATTGACTGATTGGGCTCACATTGATTTTGGTGGGATCAAGGTCAGACCATCAATAATTGAAGAAAAGCCAGGAGCAGGTCACTTAGCTCTGTCTCTTCTTTTCCCCCATCAGTTATGCACAACCTCTGTCTACTTCAAGTTCTGAAGTTTTAAACACAGACACACAGACCCATACACACAGAGGTTTCCCAAATATATTCAGGTAATGACATTGCAAGTACACTGGTTCATCTTTTCTTCTGTGATGATAATATTAGCTGATCACTTGGGACTTTGTATTTTCAAAGCACTGCCCAACAAGTACTGTATGTTTCCATAATACCACTAAGGGATGAGATACACATCCCAGATTTTTGCTGTGCTTTGATCTCTCCTTGTCACTTGAGCAGATGAAATTGGCTTCCCCTCTCCCTAGAAAGTCTCATTGCTTATATCAGGAAGAAATTCTTTACTGTGAGAGTCATGAGGCACTGGAACAGGTTGCCCCATGCCTGGAAGTGTTAAAGGCCAGGTTGGATGGGACTTTGAGCAACCTGGTCTAGTGGAAGGTATCACTGTCCACAGTAGTGAGTTTTGAACTGGGTGATTTTTAAGGTCCCTTCTGATCCAAACAATTCTATTATACTACCATAGAATTACTGACTGGGTATTGAAGGATAGAGCTTACTGAGGACTTGCTAGCAAATTTGGTTTGCTAGCAAAATTGGCCTGGGATTGTATCATGTCCAGTTCCAGCTGCTTTGCCCTGCCTCCTCAACAGCCCCATTGCCATGGGCTCCCAGCACCCACCAGTGTGTGCAAGAGCTGCAAGAGCTGTGCAAGCAGACCTGTCCACCACCACCCAGGTCAGGCGATGTCCTGACTTTGCTGTAGTTCTGCCCTGGGACAGAGGCCCCGTGTGTGCCCTTTGAGAGTCCCTGATTAGGTTTCCCTTGTGCTGTGCTGAACTTAGCTCATTTTAGACCCAAATTTGCTGATTTTCTATACAAAACTGAAGTCACAGCAGTGCAATAGGAAGTTTAGTTAAACACCATTTCATGAAACCAGACATGTCAAGATGATTAACATTACCCAGAACCCACTGAACCCGCAGATTCTATGGAGAAACAATTTTAATAGGTTTAGCTGTGGCAGGCTCCAAACATATTTAAGCCAGTAATTCAGATTGCATCTGATCTTATGCTATGCATGGGATCAGCACAGATACGAACTGAGGATACATATGATAATAAAGTGCTAGAAATTTATGGAAGACATTCACCTTGCTTCCAGGTCTGCATACCACTTAGGTCTAAGATAGATCTTTCCTGCCCTGAAATAGGGTGTAAATGGTACCTCAGGGGCAGCGACCTCCTGAACTGGCAGAATTTTAAAGCATGTTTTAAAAATCTGCTATGGCCATGAAAGGGTAAGTAAAGGCCTCTATATTCAAGCTCTGGATCTTTGCCTCCATTGTCACCTGTTGCTAATGTAAGAGTTAGTGGAGTCAGTAAGAATGCTGGTTGAAGTGAGGAGAGAATTTGTCTCAACAAAAACTTGTCTATAAGCACTATAATGAAGTCTTGGGATTTAGGTAATTTTTTTTTTCCTTTTTTACTATTCCAGTGCTATTAGACAGGTGACAGGAGTGTATAGTCCACCCTGTATGGCAACAGTGACTTTTTTACGACCTTAGTATCTCATTGCATTAGCATCATGTTCAGTAAGAAAATGCAGCTAAGTGCTAGTACTATGATTAAAAACATATATATCAGCCTGGCAGCTACAAATGGATAGGATCAATTTAATATAATAACTGTTTTAAATGCTGTAAGCAGGGACACGTCTCTCCTCTGTGCCTGCTCACTCATGTCTAATAGTGCTTGCAAGTGAAGGGGATGGTGACAGTTCTCCTGATCCGACCTGACAGACATTATAGACACAGAGCTGTGTACATCTGCCTGTCATGGTCAAAAGAGTAATCCTTTCGGCCAGACCCTTAACTGATTTTCGTGCTGACCTTAGTTCACCACCTCAGACCTTAGATAAGCGGGTCACTTGCATGCTCAGCTTTCGAAGTGAATTAGGAAAAAAAAAGTCCAAGTTTACTGACAGTTTAATTAAATCAGGCCATTTCTGCCATCAGTCAGACCTGTCATTGCCTGTTGGAGAGGGCGTGAGCTGCAAAGTGACGTTTAAAGCAAGATGAAAGATTGCACCATAAAGATGATAAATATAACTGACCCAAATGTAAATTTTTAGGACCGTGAAGGGACAGAGGGAAGGACGTTAAACGTTAATTAGGTAATGCACTAGAGTAAAAACTTGGCAGAAAGCCCCAGGAGCTTCAATTCCCAGTTTTATTGCCTGTGTCTCCTCTTGGGGGAAGAAGTCTGGGGAGGTGGGACTGGGGCAATAGAGCAAGCAGGAAGGTAATTTGTCATGGAAGCAGACACAGCAGGAATCACCCACTTTCCCCAGCAGTTTGGCACCACTGCCAACCCCCTTCTGCCCTCCTACCTGGCTCAGTGACAATCAGTCTCCCTTCTGCACCTGCCTGGCTGAGCATGTGAGAACATGGCAAACAGCAGTCTTTTTGCTCTAATAGCTGGCAAAGATTGAGCAATGGTCCAGAGTTTCAAAAGTCTTGCTAAACAGTAAAACTAAGTGGCACTAACAGCACCAAGAGGAAAGATCCTCATCTCACCCCTCTTGGGATTAACCTGGAACAGCCACACCAGCTCCTCTGCAGCATTCCCAGTGGAGCCATAGCAGTGCCAGCATCTTCACCAGCTCTGCCCTTACTTCAGAAACTTACTCTAGTGGTCATCTCTGATGGTAGCACTCATCTGCCCTATTCATGTCTGTGTTCTACAAAGTCTTTGTCCAAATATTGGGATCTTACCAGCTAGTATTCATAGAAATTTCACCATTTCAATATCCATTTAACAGTTTTATTTGTTTGAGATCCCTTTCACTGCTTTGAATTACATACATTTTAGTCATGAAGCATGAATAAGAACACAGCTCTCTTTTTCTTTTCTCTATTGCAGATGGCTGAATAAAAATGGAATTCGGGAAATTGAGAATTATGCATTTAATGGAACATATCTGGATGAGCTGTAACTATTTCTGTTGTTTACTATTCTGAAAAGTGATAATTAGAAGATAGTAACTGCTGCAAGATTTATTTTTTTTTATTTCAGCTTGTTGCAACATAAATATTGTGTTTTTTCAGAAATCTAAGTGATAATCACAACCTAGAAAAATTACCAAATGAGGTCTTCCAGGGAGCCAATGGGCCTGTTGTTTTGTAAGTAATATTTGGATAATACTTTTCTCATTATTGACTACCTAGAAAATATCACAGAAGAACATACGAACGCCAGTCTGGGTTTCAACGTCTCACAAACCTTGAATTTCAAAACCAGACGTAATTCTGAATATACTTAAAAAAAAAAAATCAGTCTAGATCCTTATCTTCATTTTGTCCTCAAGTTTTTGAAGTATTTAGAGTGAGAGATTTAGATTAAGGTTGCTCTCCATGGTTGATTAAACTGTGTAAGACAGAAGCAGTTTTGCTTTTGGTTACTTTTTCAGAGAAAAAGGCTTCTGTTTTTTTGTTTGAGCAAAATGAAGAATAGGTGAGTGGTTCTCAGTGCTTAAATCTGGATTACTTTCCACCGAAGATCTTCCCCTGTATCTGTGAAGCTTAATTTAAAGAAAGATTCCTATCGTACAGGGTTAGGGACTGGACTGTCTCATCTCCTGTAGAGATAGGTATGACATACATCCCCCACAGTTACAACAGAATGTCTTTGGTGGGTGATGAAATGGAAATAGAGCTCTCAGCAGTAGAGAATTCAGCAGTAGGATGCTCATGGATCTCAGTAAACATTTTACCTCAAGCCATAGTTTCCATGGGGTCTGAAAATGCCTGTGATTGTGCAGAACTGTTTGTTTTTCTGAGCACAAGCCACAACATGTAAGAGCTGCAACAGAGATGTAGGAGTCTTTTTTTGTCTCACCCATTTGTCAGAACATTTCTCTTTTCCCATCTATCCTGCTTGTCCAGAGAGGGCTAAAAGTCACCCAGAAAAAGTGAAAGGGGTCATTGGTGTTCTTGGAAGATTTTACACTGATGTTAGAGTAGCTAGAATCTAAAACAGAAAGAGAAAAATGTCTGATTAACCTTGAGTTCAGTCCAGAGCTCTTCTGAAGGCATTTTGTTTCCACATTGTGATGGCCAGTGCACCTATGATATAAAGAGCTATGGTATGGGTTACTGTATTCTGTTTCACTTCCCTCACTTCCTAAAAGCCTCTTCCTTCTTTGGAAAAGACTGCCAGTGGAGCGTCTTTTCATCAGTAATGTCATAGGTGTTTCTTAGGAAAATCATTGTTTCCTGTAACAAAAAGTAAATGCATTTTCTTTGCAAGCTATAACTGATACAGTCATATTCTGGATGTTTATCAAATTGATTTGCCTGTAGTTGAGATTCCTTTGATAGTTCAATTTCTAACACTGAGTTATTTGTGTAAAAAGTTTTCTGTTCCATTAGCAGTACATCCACTATTCCATGGATGGAAAATTACCTTTTTATCCTGGATGAGATCATGAAAGAACAGCCTTCTTACTCATCCATCAGTGTAGTGTACACCAGGGATGCGCTTTCACTTGTGGAAATGATTGACCCATAATCGTATCTTTGCTGGGACAAATAGTTTTGCTGCAATCAAATCCATGTTGCAGACTGCAATGTTTTATTACAATGAATGTCGGGGGGGTTAACTCTTGACCTTCCTGAACCAGTGTTCTACAGTCAATTAGTGCCAACTTCTATTCTATAATTCAGCGTATTAAAAGAATATAAAAGAAACACAAATAATCAGAAAGCACCAATCTCAGCCCTTGTACAGACTACAGAGTTTCACAAATCAATTCCTCTCTCAGACTTACTGCTCTTATCTGAATTAGAATATCTCTTTTGGATAGACATCAAGTTTTGAATTAAAAGATTTCAGTGCTGACAGCAGGCAAGTAAATCCAGTACTAATAAATCCCACACCTATACCTATTCCTTGCATACAGAAATACACTGTGTTTCCAACTTGGAGTTTCATAGCTTCAATTTTCAGCCACATTATTTCATATAATTGTTTTCTGCTGCTCTCAGAGCTGTAGTGGCTTACATCAGCTTTTGCTGCTGTCCTTAGTTCTCTGTGTCCTGACTCAATGCAAGGTGTGGTTTGGCAGTGGTCCATCCTACCCTTGCAATTTGTCTTCAGTGAGAAACCCACATAGGGGGCTACAGGAGAGCTCCAGTAAATCCCCAGGTCAACAACCAAGACCCTGAAGCGCAGCCAGAGATCAGTTTAGATATATGGAGAAAATTCTCACCAACCACTCTACCACCCTCTGTTTTCTGCTCTGGCAACTATTTCCCACCATTTCTGTATGTGCCTTTCAAACCTCATCAGTTGGTCAGTATTTTTGCTAATCCAACAGAGACTCCCAGTGGGAAAGGGAAGTGATTGGAAGAGAAGTCAGATTCATTTTGCTGTTCCTGCACCAGCTGCTGTCAAGGCTGATGACTAACAGCCAAGCAGAAATAACATAGGAACACATATTCCAATGGTAGATGCCTTCTGATTTTATTTCCTATTGCCACTTTATGATCATGTTCATCATGATTATTTAAATTATCAAGCCTTTAGCTAGAGAGCAACATCCCAAAGGACCTCTGCACTGAGGCCTGTGTGTGGTAACTCAGTGGAGTAAGTTACTAAACCACACACACAGTGTCTATCTTTGCTGTTTGGGGGCATGTCAGTGGTCTATTGATAACTATCCCTCACAGGCATGTCAGCAAACCCCTGAAGGAGTTTACAAAACACATTCCCTAACTCACTTCTGTTTATGTGCAACAATGAACATAAAAAGTAAAATTTTTAAAATAAGAATAAAATATTTTTGTGGAAAAATATTTCATATTTATGAAATTCTTTAGACATTATGAGAGACCTAGTAACCTTTTTGCTATTTTTAAGGCCAGGTGGTATTCCTATGCATATTTGCTTGTTATTTCCACACAGTGTAATAACAGTTTGGACTTGGTAATGATTTTTAGCTAACAAGCCAAAGAAAACATTTTCCATGTTCTTTTTTAGAATTATGAAGTTTCACATCCTCTTAATGATGCAATGAGTGATGCTATCTGTGGATTTAGGCAGAAAACTGCTGTTCAGTTGTTGGCTCATGAGCATATACTCTGGGTGACAGTTTTCATTAGGCAGTGCACTAATGGCAATAGTCAGCCCATGTGAAAATCGAGGTTGCTCTTTGCAACCTAATTACCTCTTCAAGTGTCCAAGTCAAGAAATCGATAGCCTAAAATTTCTCTTCCCTTGCTGTTTTCAGCTCCTGTAAGAAACAGGCGCAGGACCTCAGGACTCTTTCTGTGAGAAGAGTGGCTTCTCTCTGCCTGCCCTGCAGAAGTTCATATTATTTTTGAGTACACTGGTCTATTTTCCCTTCCAGTAGAAATTATGGCCCTAGTTCGGGGCAGTGGAGTGGAGTCTGTGTTTGCTCCTCTGCTGCCAGAGTTCACAGTCCAGTTGTTGTAGGTGGTACATTCCTTTAGAGCCTGGATGTAAAGCCCTGGCTGTAGGCACAGTGTGGACACATCATCTTCACCCAACACCAATTTTAAAAAACCGCTTTATCAGCTGCCTGTGAATTTGTTAGGCTTGGCTGGAGTTCAAACAGAGCCCTTCCCTGGCATTAATTTTCTTTCTTAAACCAGAGGACAGAGATGCAAATGTGTGTATGATACAAAGCAACTGTCTAGACTTCATTTCATGCTGCTAAAACCTGGTCTCCCCCTCACAAGGCACCACTCTACTGTATTAAAAGGATAATAAAAACAATTTGTGCACATTGGGTAATAGAGATCAAATAACATGTTGTCCAGACATCATACTGTTACAGCTGAATTGGAAACTGCATCTTCAAGGGGACATGGAGAAAACTACAAATGTTGTCTGTCCAATTCCTTGATTAAGGAAAAATATTGTCTTTTCTTGGAGAATTAAGAGCAGAGCAGCCTCAGCAACCACTGTATCCTGGATCAGTCTCAGGCCATAAGAGCACAAGGGTCTAAGGGAAGAGGACAGGGTGATTTTGTGCAGTTCATTTTTACCTTTTCTTTTAAGAGAAAGAAGTGTGTTCTCATGCTGTCATGATCCAAGGGACACAGTTTGTGCCCCAGTGAAGGAAATATGGAGATGTTTTGCCCCAGCTGTTACACCCTGAACCTATGAGGAAGGATTCCCAAATATCTCAGCCTGGAGATGGAGCACCCTTGGTCCTTCTTCCTTTCCCCACCTGCATGGCACAAGATTTAGTGTTTGCAGAATGTTTCCTTTTAACAGCCCCTCTAATGCTCTCTTTATGGGTGCTGGTTCCATTGCTGCCTCTCACAGCCTGTCCCACACAGTAATTGCCTTCCACATAAATGCTTCTCTCCTAACCTCCTGTAATCTTGTCCCATTCTTTGCTTCAGCCTGTGCTATATTTGTTTTTTAAACCTCTGGGAATGTTTTGTTGGTTTTGGTTTTTTGTTTCTAACAGTCTGAACAATGTCACCCCTGTCTGTCTTTAATCTCCTTTTCTTCCTAATGAGTACAAAACCTGATATATCCAACCTGTCCTCACATCTGTACCTCCATGTGAGCTTCTTTCTTTGTGTTTATTGCTTTTTCCACAGCAGCCTTCCCATGATGTGATGTTCATAAAGCAAAAACTTCTACTGTGATTTCATAAGCCTTTTTTATTCTGTAAGATTATTCTGGGGTGATTGTTGCATTTACTGGATATTGCTAAACCCAGTATCATATGGTGCTAATGGTTTATGTCCCTGCTAATTCTTACCCAGAACATTATGGGACTTTTTTCTTTATTTCTCACAGACTAACATCACTTGATTGTTGTTTGCAATGCATGTTAGTTCAGATTGCTGGAGGAACACCTAATTTTTCACTGGATCCTCTTTTCAGTGTAGATTTCCAGCTGATCTGTTTCTAATTACTACTCTGAGAATGAGTAGGACAGTCTAAAACACATATCCGTTGTTGAGCAGAAGTAAATTTGCTTTTTACCAAGATTTTCATCTGTTTTCTTAAAGGGATATTTCAAGCACGAAAATCAGTTTCCTGCCAAGTCATGGATTAGAACTCATTAAGAAGCTAAGAGCAAGGTCTACATACAATTTAAAAAAGCTTCCTGATCTAAGCAAATTTAGATCTTTGATTGAAGCAAACTTCACATATCCTAGCCATTGCTGTGCATTTGCAAACTGGAAAAGACAAAAGTAAGTGATTTAATTTGTTTTTCTTCTTGGAGCTTTTCAGCATTTGATAACAAATTAAATAAAATTCCTCAAAGTCTGGATAGAAAAGTCTCTTTAGTGCAGCTAAGTAAATGGATAGAAATAAATAAATATACAATACATACGAGTTTTTGCATGCTACACACTGCACTGCCTCCACATTACAGGGAATTGTTAACTTTTAACAGCTGTGTTATTTCACCATCAGTACTTTCCCCCTTTGCAGCTCTGTCCCCACCTGTTTGTAGGTCCATGTTTCACTGGGACCTGCTGTCCTGGATCAGCCTGGAGACACGATGAAAACATTAAACGGAAAAAGTTTGATAGCTTTTCAGGAGGTAGCTGGGGAGAAAGCTGTGTTTGCAGAGAAGCTGGTCAATACTTGTCCATCAATTCAGGAGGGTAACAGGACCACTGAGTGATGCAAAACACTCTTCTCTCAGAAAGCTTCACTGATATTGGAACACTGTCAAGCCAAGCGTCAGAGATACCTTATCTCTTGAGTTGACATCGACAACATTTCTGGACGTGATTTCTGAAATGGTTAACCTAGAGCAGATCCATGTTATCCAAATCAACAGAGGGTGTGTGGGAGGGTATGGTGTCTTTTTAGACATTTAGTAATTTTCCATTCTTATTTTAATTTTCCATTAGTGAGTTGCAGTGAGACTTCAGGTATCAATGATTCTTGTTGAGTATTTTCACCTGCTCAGGCAGTCTTGAAATGTACACTTTAAGTAGTTAATGAACCTCCTGAATTTGTGCCACTGGAAAACATGACGAGCTGGTACCTACTGAAACCCCTGTTATTGTTTGAAGTTCTTCCTTTACTGGATGTCCTGAAAGACTTGGACTTTGCCATGGCAGAAAAAAAAAATCATGAACCATTGTTGTAAATCAAGACATCATCTTCAGAAGTTGCATAAAACTTCAAAGAGCAGTGAAACCATGTAAAAAGGCATAAACTGTTAGTAACTTCTATTTTAACACTTAAAATAGACATTTATTTTACTTTTAGCATTGTACTGTCACCAAACAATGGAAGCTAACTGAGTTTGCTTGTACTGATAGTTAATAAATATCACCTACATGTGTTTACCAAACTGTCTGTGTAAAGAATGCAAGTGTAATGCTGGAGACTGCAGTGACAAGGGAAGTATCTGACAGAATCCATCTCCCATTGTCCATTTTTGTTCCAAAATGCTAAACTTTTCACTAGAACAATTTATCAGCAGGAGATGTTTTCACATACTTGTGCAGTCTAATCTAGACACAGTGCTTGGTAACTTATATGTAGGAATGTGTCCAGTCCTTCCAGCACTGATGACACAGCAGCATATTCCAATGAGTCCAGTGAAAGCATCTTTAATCCTGAATGTGCAAAGGGACGTTGATGTCACTATGATTCATATTTTTGAAGGTACTTTGCTTCTGGGCTGCTTGGGCTTAAACAGGACCCAAATCACAGAATCCACCCCTTAAATTAGGCAACTGGATTTTTCAAAAACAAAGTAGAAGTTGCTATTGAAGGAAGGCTACAGAAGGAAACAGTCCTGACCTTGTGGTAAGCTCTAAGTATCTAGTCCCCTCTCTTGGGCTTTAAAATAACTTCCATGTCTCATACTAGCCCCAGGGAATTGAAGCCCACAGCACTCACTTCCCCTCTTGTATAGCCCCTCTTTTGGAGGCCTTTGCCCTGGCAGGCAAGAAGCCAAGAACATGAAACATCACTTTCCACAGCCTGGGTAAGTGCAATTTTGCAAAGAAATGCCAACAAACCTGTACAGAGCTCACATAACCCAGTGAAGGATGGCCAGCAAGCTGAGCTGGAGTACCATGTAGTGGTGGGGTTGCTTCTGGAGAAGTTTGGTCCCAATTTCAGTCTCCTGTATCAGGTGTGATGTAATGGTGAGAAATAGTATGTAAGATGGAGATGCTCTTGTTTATAATATATGATATATGATATAGGAGTACTTGAATGAATGCACATATGAACTGTACCACCCTGGTCAACAGAACAAAATTGAATGTATTTATGTGTCTTTAATAGTTACCAGATGAATTTTTTACTAAATATTAAGCATAAATGCAAATATACTAGAACCAATTACTTAGATCAACCCTTCCTGTTAGCTGCTTTTTAACATAATTAAAAATGGTCATTTCTTTCATACAGTTGTGTCTTGTACTGAAATTGGTGGGAAACTGACATCCTTTCTCCAGCTTAAAGAAAGAAAATGGATACATGTGTTCAGTTTGAATACTGAAGATATTACAATACACTTCAAAAGAGATGAGTCACACATAGAGTAGCTACAACAGCTTTCATTTCAAAGCAGTTTTCATGACAGCTGGCACAAGTTGTGAGTGCATTGAAGGCTGCTCAGGCTGTTTAAAAGTTATTAATAGTTTGTATAGTGCTTGATCACACAACATGTAATATTTCTTTGGCAAGAGCCGTGCTTGTTTCAGTCCAGCAGCATCACTTGTGGTGGTGGGAACTGTGGGGTGTCCTGACTTGTCATGCACCTTCACAAGAGACAGTCATTATTCTGTGACTATTTGACTCTCAGAACACTTTCAGGTAGTCCAGAGAGTATAAAAAGGATGCCTCATGACCCCCAGAAGTGCATGTCTAAGGATCACAGCAGCAGCTTCTGTTCACATGGGAACTCTGGGAAGGAATTAAGATAGGGATGTGTGGTGCCTTTCTGGCTGCCAGTTCATGTTAGATTTCCCCTCTTTGACACTTTTGCAGCACTCAAACTCTTAGAAAAAATAAATTACCATAGCTGATCCTACTCGGTCACCTCTCCTAAATCCATCTGCACCAGCAAACAGGTGCTGTTGTGATAATGGGAAGTTTAAACCTGTTATAGCAACAGTGCTTTCTAAATTTTGGAGAAGGTAGAATCAAGCTCTGCCAGTCTGAGGCAAATTTTAAGACAATTTTGATGTTTTTCCCATTCCCATAAGGACTATATGCTAAATATTGATCTGTGGATTGATCATACTTGAATATTGTGATGCTGGCCTAACAGAAGGTAAGCTGCATTCTTAAGACAAGTCCAGTAGAGTATGTTGAACTCCCTCACATTTTTCTGTGACTGGAAAATAATATCCTTGAAGTGTGGATAGGGCAGAGGTTGGATGTTAAAACCCTCAACTTGACATATACCATTATGAACTTCAGTAAGCTTTTGGCTTTCTTTGACATAAAGATCACCTTCTGCCTAAAAGAATGACATTGGTATGACTCTGTCCTTACACTTGATCGTTATTCTTCAGAGGAGCTGTCACTTGAAATCCCACTTTTTCAAAAAATGTGACAGCATCAGGAGTCACGTTTGGACCTCGTCTCATGAGAACACACTATCAGTTGCTCACAACTCACCTTTGTCACTTTTTGGTGAGAATGATTGGTTTGAGATAGGGCTTAATACAGAACCTAGGTTAAGACTATTTGTTCTGCTGAGCATGTTTCTCGGCACACAAAATCCTGCTGTCACCAGTTCCAGACAAAGCGCATAAAAGGTAGTACAAAGGTAGTAATTTTTGTTTATTTTTGTCAGAGCGTTTTGTCAGTTTCAATTTTATTCTCCAAGTTGCCCTTTCTCTAGTTTATTTTTCTAGTTTACTTGAGCAAAATAATGCTAAACAGTAACATAATTTTTCAGAGTGAATAAATGGACTGTATTACAATACCAGGGGCCTCAAAAGCAGGCAAGGACACACCCACCCCTTGACAAACAATGTTTAATTTGTTGCTCTGAATGCACTGTGCAGCCCAAGGAGCAAATATCACAGGGCAAAGATACAGTAAGGAGTCAGTATCAGAGGATGGCTCTTCCTTCCCTTGGGATTTTGCAGCTGCCCATCTTACTTGCTCTCAATGCAGGTAACCAGCCTCGTCAGGCTCCTCGGAGCAAACACAGCAGCTAAATCTGTGGGACCCTGCTTCTACTTGGGACCACTGGCTGTAAAATAATTCAAGAATTAATAAATTGCAATAATCAGAAACATTTAATTAGCCTTACATAGCAGTCTTGTTAGGGAATAGATTTAAGTCCAGGCAGTGCCTCCAAAATTTGGGAAAAGGTTTACTTTTAACTAATGCTGAGAAATGATTGGATACAAACATTTCACTCAGTTCATTTACAAAGAACCACCAATTGCAGTAGCTTTCAGTACCCCTGGGTGACTGTTGCACTAAAAATGAGGGACTTTCTGTCTCGTTATTGCTCCTTGGAAGCCTATATTCCCTTTCAGCTAGAGAACTGTTGATATATTGATCAATACAGTGGACCCCTCACTCATCCTTATGCGAGTAGAACACGGGAGCAAAATGTAATGCCTTGTTATTGCTATTGTGACCTTCATAGTGCATATTTGACCTCACAGAAAATCAGTTTTCTGCCTCAGTTGACAGGCAAGATAAAAAATATTGATAATAGTAGAGGATGTTCAGAACCTCATAGGAAATGTCTCTCACCTTCTGGTGCTGGGCCTTCATTAGTTTTTGTTTCTCACAGACCTTTTAAACTCAATTTTTGGAAGATATAGTGAGTGCACAAAGTCAAAGGGTAAAATTAGGTTACAAAGAAGAATTCTCCCTTTTAAACCACTACCAGTTGTTCAAAATTTTCAACCTAACTTGCCTAGAGAGTTCTTCTCTTGACTGTACTGAAAGTCAGAGTGGAAGTTAAGCTGGGGTCCTGTCCTGGAAATTTTACACCTAAATTGCAATCTGGGTTGTAGCTGAATGTAGGTAGAGCTGAACTCTGTTGGTTTTGCAACACATTTTCACCTACTTTATTTTCTAACTCAGATTAGGTCTGCATCCAAAACTATGGACACCAGTTTATGGCACAGCAAATTTCAAAGGCAGGAGAAGCTGTTGTAAAGTCTGTCCCTTCATTTTCTGTTTATACAGGAATACACCTTAATATTTCTTAACTTGATAGACCTAATCATCTTTCTATCATCTCAACTAAAATAGTTGTTTCTTCAATTTTTTTAGGGATGGAGAAGGGCATAGAGCTAATACTCTGTGAGATGAAATCAAACACAAAACTATCAAAAATACTATTTTTTCCCCTTGAAACTCTTCTCCTTTATTTACTTGTGCTGCTAAAAATTCTTAAAATGTTTAAAAAATACTTTCTGGCAGAAACAAAAGCAACTACTGTTTCCATTAAAATGTTGCGTTGGGTTGGGTTGGGTTGGGTTGGGTTGGCATGGCTTGTCTTGGTTTTGATTCACTTGCTTTCTAAGCCATTTTCTTTGAAAAGCAGTTTTTAAACAAAATGGTCTACCATGTCTTGTGTTTATGTTTGCATCTGGCTACTAGATAATATCTGGAAGCCTACCTGAACTTATTTGTGCTAATTTTTTTGTGTGTGTTTTACTGGACAGTAATGGTATGAGATACTTAGAAGTAGCACAAACTGGAGTTGTTCTGTGCCCTGATGGAGTTACGTAACTATTACCATGGTGATGGTCAAAACCTCTAGGAAAAAGGGAATTTAAAAATAATATGAAGGGATAGTAGCATTACTGTGGTTATACAGAGTCCTTATGAACACAGATGAATTGACTAATTCTTCAAAGCTCAGTCTTACATTGCTATTAATCATCATGTATTTCCCCACGCACAAATCAGCTTATCAACGACAGGCTATGTGAGAAATTCAGTTCAAATAAGGGAGGCTTCTTAGAGAGACTGTTATCCAGGTGGATAACTCTATCATGGGTGTTAGGTAAACATTAGTCTTTTGTTTCCCTTACATTTTATGATGTTTCCAAATCATTTACATTTCTTGTAATATTTTATAAATAAGGACCAGCCAGACTATTAATTTCAAGCTCCAGGGTAATCTGTATATTCAGCTAACCAGAAAAACTGAGCTGTTAATGGAAACTGGATGATACTGTGTTGTATGCCTCCCACTGTGTCTCTTAGCTTCCAACTCCACTCTTTTTACAATTTCAGCACCGAATTGCATCCGATATGTACCATGTCTCAGGCCAAGCAAGACCTTAAGGAGCAGCCTGGCGAAAAGCTACAGATACAATCCGCAGCTGAAGATTATATTTCAAGCTATGGCATAGGATTTGACCCAACAAAGAATGACTTTGACTATGGTTTATGCAATGAAGTAGTTAACGTAGCTTGCTCACCAAAACCTGATGCTTTCAATCCATGTGAAGATATCATGGGGTACAACATTCTGAGAGTCCTGATATGGTTTATCAGCATTTTAGCTATCACTGGGAACATTGTTGTCCTCATTATATTAATAAGCAGTCAATACAAGCTCACTGTGCCTCGCTTTCTGATGTGCAATCTTGCATTTGCAGATCTCTGCATAGGCATCTATCTGTTGTTTATTGCATCTGTAGATATCCAGACCAAAAGCCAGTATTACAACTACGCCATAGACTGGCAAACTGGGGCAGGATGCAATACTGCAGGATTTTTCACAGTGTTTGCAAGCGAACTCTCGGTCTACACACTGACTGTGATCACCCTGGAGAGGTGGCACACCATCACCTACGCCATGCAGCTGCACCGCAAGGTCCGACTGCGTCATGCTGTGATTATAATGGTTTTTGGCTGGCTGTTTGCTTTCTCAGTAGCACTTCTTCCCATATTTGGAGTCAGCAGCTACATGAAGGTCAGCATCTGTTTGCCCATGGATATAGAAACACCATTTTCTCAGGCCTACGTTGTATGTCTTTTAGTACTGAATGTGCTCGCATTTGTGATTATATGCGTGTGCTACATCTGCATCTACTCTACCGTGAGGAACCCCAACGTGATCTCTTCCAACAGTGACACCAAGATTGCCAAGCGCATGGCCATACTGATCTTCACAGACTTCCTCTGCATGGCACCCATATCTTTTTTCGCAATATCGGCCTCACTCAAGGTTCCTCTCATCACCGTGTCCAAATCCAAGATCCTTCTGGTTTTGTTTTACCCCATCAACTCCTGTGCTAACCCTTTCCTCTATGCCATTTTCACCAAGACTTTCCGCAGGGATTTCTTCATTCTGTTGAGCAAGTTTGGTTGCTGTGAAATGCAAGCCCAGATTTACAGAACAGAGACCTCCTCATCTGCTCCTAATTTCCACACAAGAAATGGTCATTGTTCTCCTGCATCAAAAAACAGTGAGGGCCCTATTTATTCACTGGTTCCTCTGAATCACTTGAACTGAAACACTCGCATGAATTTGTGTCTGAGGTAGTGTGATAATCACTTCCAACAGTGCATTTGAATAATGACTTTAGCATAGCATGTAAACTTATGTTTTATGAGGAAAGAAAAAATTATTTCCACTTCGCTATTTTTGTTCAATGAACAACCATCAATAAGTGGCAAATCATCTTCAGCAGTTCTTGAAGACCAAAGTGCCAAAGTCTTCTCGTAGAATTGCCTTAAGAAAGAAATGAGATCATAAACCAGTATCTCCCACCATGCAGGCAGAGACTCCCTCATTCTAGGAAGATGTTAGCTGCTTACTGAGAATTAATATGTAGAAATAATTTCTTTTCATGTGAAGTGTGTTATAACAATGACAAATAATTAGGTTTTCTCATTAATCGTACTTCCTGGGGTTACAGGAGACAGAAGGCCAACGTAAGCCTCCTTGAGCACAGACTTATTAGGAATGAGAATATTGTGTGTTGTTTCCATTTCTGTTGACCACACCCATCTCCAGCTGTGCTGATGTTTTCTGTTCCATGATTCCATCAAACATCCATGATGTTTTCTGTCCACTGCATGGTCCTGCCTTATTCTGCACAGAAGTGTCACTTGGGGTGGGTTTTGTGTCGATATAGATTGGCAGGCTCAGAGAAACATATTTCATCTAAGTTTGTCTCTAGAAGTTGGTTTGGTTTGGGGTTTGTTTTCAAGTTAAGAAAGCGCAAGAACAAAGGCGAGAGAAACCTCTGATAATAAGGAGGATGTTTTCTCAAGTTGTTCTCACAGAGTTGGGTTGAATTGTATGTCTGGACCCCTTGGATATGCCAAGATGGGCCAATGGGCTGCTCTAAAATGATACACAAGGCAGGTTTACCATAAAATGGTATTAGTGCATTACACTGCCTGGACTGTGAAAAGGGCAATGGAACTAGGCATGGCTTTTGAAACCCTGAGTAAAAGTTTATGGGAAATCCTAATTTTTTGCAAAATATTTTTAGGATTTTATTATCAGATGATGGTCCACATTGGAAGACCTGAAATAAACCATAAGCTGCATATGTTGAAATAACAAAACAAAAAAAACACCACCAAACACCAAAAAACAAACAAACAAACAAAAGAAACCTTTTCATCCAGATTTCCTGATTTTACAGGAATTTTTTATTAACATCTGAATGAATGTACAGACTTTTTACATGATTTGCATAACAAACTTTTTGAGGGTTAATCATTCCAAATTGCAACAAAGATTTAGGGATGGGTAGGGTTTTCTCATGCTGGTTTCGTGGATATGTGTGGATATGTGGGCATAAAGAAAAGACCAAGAGAGGAGTCTGGGCTTTATTTCCACCTCACAAACAATTCACAGTTCTGCCCAATGAGATTATAAATCTTTGGAATCTTCATGGTTAAATGTGATGTGCTTTAAATATTTCCTACATACAGCTCATAAAATTTCAGTACCAAATCTTGATGCTTCTATCTATAATCTCCCATCATCAGCTTCACTTTTCAGTATCTGAACCTGATGTGAATAACTACAGGAGGTGATTATTCATTCAGTCCTAACCAGGAAAGGAACTATCAGCTCCCTAGTGCATAAAACAGGGGACATCAAAAGAGTGTGGCTTGGGGGATGATATTTCATTACTCAACACAAGTAACACTCCCTCCAAGATCCAGGAGAAGTAAGAATGAAAAACAAGAGCATGAAAGACAGTTCATCTCTGGGAAGATCTTCTGACTATTCAGAGGAATGATTTTTTTTACAAATACTTTATATCATATATAGCGTTATGGTGTGCAGCCATTAAAACCCATCCGGATGGAAGTGACTGAATGATGATGTTCCAAAATGACAGACACTCTAGTTACATTTTAAAAAGGCTCCTGATTCTATTCTTGGGTCAAAAATGAGAGGTGTTATTTGGCAAATACTATCCCATTTTTGTTGATAAATAGGGAAAAGTCTTGTAGTGCATCATGTTATGCTTTTTTGCCTTGGTGCTGTCCATTTGTCAAGGATGAGACCTGGCAGTTCAGGAAAGCACAGGCATCATAGTCTAGAAGCCAGTTTTGTAAATTGTCTTGTCAGGCACATGGGCTTGGTACAGCTGATCTGCTTCATGCAAACCCATTGCCTAGACATTTGCAGAATTTTAAATATGCTTTACAAATTAGCATCTCTGAAAAGAGACCTTGCAGGATCGTATCTTGTATACAGAGTCAGACCAGTGCCCAAGGGATGAAGCCACCTTAGCCCATGGCTCTTCCTCCAGAGGATGCTAGAGCTGATACTTGAAGAGCAAGTAGAACTTGCCTTGTCCCAAGCAAGAGGACATGTCATCCTGCCCACACATGCTGCTCAGGAGCTCTGGTGGCAACTCAGGCTGTGGCAGGACCTCCAAAGCTGGGAGGTTGACCATGCAGTTTTCAAGACAAAAACCTCCTTCTAGTCCTTAGAATTCCTTGGCTTTAACTATTCTTTGGATTTTAATTTTAATAATTTTCCAGATTCTAAGACACATTTGTGTGACCTGTGTCTTTCTCTGCATGGGACATAGGTCTGTTTGTAGCAATTTTTTAAGCAGTATTTTTTGTTTGAAGAAAGTAGTATAAGAAAAAAAATGCAAGATACGTTTTTTTCATGCTTGTAATGTACAAAAAACCTACCGGTGGCTGGTGTGGATTTTCTCAGCACTGAACAACATGTTTATGTTGTAATCTTTAAACTGTTTTACACTTCCCTTTTTGAAATCTATTTTAATAAAACCAGTATCACAACAAAGTGCCTTGAGAACAAGTGTATGGCCAGAGATATGCTGACAAAGTATGCAATAAATGTTTCTGCTTATCTGGAGAGCTCCATTTATGCAGCACAGCCTCCACAGTCAGGTCACTGTGACCTACAGATGAAGCTCAGCTGGTGAGATACTCTGCATAGAAAACCCTCCTGTAGACTCCTGGATAGTTAACAAAGCACAGAGAGGTATGTTTGAAACCTCCAACAAATAACATACTAAGACTGACCTGTTTGGGTTTTTAACAAATCTCTCTTCTATTAATTCATATTTCTTATTAAATAAGATATTATCCGTTGATAGAGCTCAGACAGGCATTTTCCTCCTTTTCAATATATGTAAATGGTGGTTGTTAAATGATACATTCTAATTTTTTTCCCCTCCATTTTACACCCAGGGCATGAAATTCTATTTTGTGGAATATTCTCCTCAGACAAATAAGTATGTGTCTGTGTGTGCACATGTGTAGGAGAGAGGCCACAGGTAACAAGAAAACTGAGTCAAAGCCTAACTCCAACTCACAGAAAAAACCTTGGAGTTGTTCTGTTTTGGAGCCCATTGCTAGCTTGCTCCAAAAACCACCTGACAATAGACAATGTTGTAATACCTTCTGGTTTTCCTTGCTGCCCTTATGTGGCCATCCATTGCATTTTAGACTTCACCAAGCCCCAAAAATGCCCAGTTAAAGAATTATGACTCTCTTTGCCCTTATGGTGCCAACACCAGTGACACAAAGGGACTGTGCTGGCAGTGAGGACATGATAAGCAACTTCTTCATTTGTTTGATAAAGCATCGTTCTTTCAGGCAGGTACCTTATGGGGAACCCAAACCTGACCTCCCTAAGAAACACTCATCTTGTGATGGGAAATGAGAAATGGGACTATTTCAGCTTGGCAGACTAAGGGCAGCATCACAGAAATTGTCACCATGGGTAAAGGTAATAGAAGCAGCTGGTCAAAGGCGTCAATAAAAGCAAAAACCTGACTCAGTAGAGAAAATGAACCATGATCCATTTTCTTTATAGCTTTGCTCTGGGGGTTGCACAGATATGCCAAGCAGAGTTTGCTCATTAGAAGGCAGGTCTACATTTGAGCTTGTTAAGAATGCAAGATGAGATTTGCATCCCATTTAGCAAGTCTTCAAAATCATTTGACCACATTTCTTTCCTGTAGATTCCCTCCTAATCATTCCACTGAGGACAAAGCAGATAATCTTACATTTAATTTATGCAGTTTTGTTGTTAAGAAGAGTTAATAATGTGAAATGATTTATCCTCAAGGAATAATTTAAACATCCCTCCCCGTCCCTGAATGAAAGAACAGAAAAGAAAGGTGGGTCTGGTTCAAACGGTCAAGTAAGCACATACAAACCTCCTCACAGATTTGCATCTTTAATGTGGGCATATGCAATCTCCCATTGTGTATGCAAATGTGAATGGCTCATACACACTCTTCTTCAGTGAGAGTTTTTGTCTAAGTACTTGGTTACAAGCACATATTTGAAAATGTGGACCTTGTTGCTTTAAAATATTCTAGCACAGGAGTAGGATTTTATAGCTGTCATCTGGATAATTAAACTCTTCATTAACAGTTGTTCTCGAACCAGTGGGTGACCTTTAATTAGGGATGAAAGTACTCAGGAATGGATTTCAAGCATTAAGAAGCTGCAGAGGAGCCCTTTGCCCCCCACTTTACAAGTCCATTGAAAACATTTCATAAAACATTGGTTTTCCAAGAGGAATGATGCTGTGTAAGACAAAAATATTTTTCCAGGCCCAACTTATCAGATGTATGCTTCACTTTAACTTGTTGTAACTAAAATATTATATTTTGTTTTTTCTGTCTCATGAAGACTTCGCCATGTGTTCCTGGGTCTTTGTTATCCCAATCTGGACATTTGCATCAAGTTTGTACCCCCACCAATAAAAGAACAGGGAAAATTAACAAATTCACAATGAGAGTAGAGCCCAGATGGGGGCACATTGTATTTATGAGTAGGTTGAAAATTGCAGGGCAAGACTGAGTAATATGGAAATTTCTGTTGAGTTATCTGAATATCCAGTGTTAAAATTTTGCATTAAAGGGGATATTTTAGCTGGAGTATTGTTCCCAGGAAGTAATAGAAATTTGCATGGAAGAATCCTATGGAGAGATAAACTTTAAAGAAAGTTCAAGTCAGGATATTTTATTTCATTGTTGAAGAATTGTGCTAAGAAAAAAGCAAGAGATTGATGAAAACAACACGTACACAAGGTCTCTGGAAAAAAGGATAGCAGCTCCTTTAGGGAACACCCAGGCACCACACTGGACCATCACCAGTCACCTTGGCATTGCAATCCTTTGTATTGCTTGTGAGCTACAAATGCCTGATTAGCTTTAAATACTCCCCGTTTCTTCTTTTCTTGACTATGCTGTCAGGACAGGCATGTACCCCTTGGACATCTGTACCCTTGACTCTTCATTGCCTCAACTTTATCACACCTTGGTCCTTTCCAAAATGATAGCTTGTGCTATCTGTGCCTAGAAGTGTGTTCTGCTTTACCTGCAATCATGTAGGAACAGAATCCACAACCCTTAGAAATATTTCTTCAGAAATCAGCAGTTGGAAGATCAGAAGCCTGCTCATAGCTCTCTGTACCAGCGTGCACATGTATTCTTATGTTGCCTTCCTGTTTCCCTCTCCCATTTTTGGTTATTTGTTTGAGTGACTGTGGTGAGGATAACTGGCTCTTTCCCAAGCTTAAGACATTCTGCTTTGAAATAGTCACTGTTTGAGCCAGCTGACTTCCATAAATCAGGATGATGAAAATCGATTCCTCTCCCTGACTCTATACCTTCCCTGGACTTTGTTGGGGGGAAAAAAAATCTTAATTTTAAATGGAGGATATACATTTTTTTCTTTCCCACATTGCCAGCTGCATTTTAGCCTTGTCCCACAAATGTCATGGTGGCATAAGGCATCCCTAAGTGCAGCAGGAGAAACTGGGGAAGGAGGAGGGAGGAATCAGTCTCAATAAAGTGGGCCCATCAAAAGCTAGAAATGCACAGCCAAATTAGAGCAGTTTTTAAAGGATCCCCACATGCTCCAAAGACTGTCAGAACCCATGTTGAGTAAAAGCCCAAAGCCATTCTTTTTTTTTAAATTTGTGCACTAAAGTCTGCAGTAAAACAGGATTCACTCTACCGTGGGGTCTCTGCATGTGTCTATATGGCCGTAGACTGTGCCAAATACTGAGTTTAACAAGGGCACCAGAACCAGAGGTTTTCCTCAATGTACCTGGTGCTGAAATACTCTGTTTCTCAGCAGAGCCAAGTTGCTTGGACTAGGCCAAAAATTGAGTTGAACTACCCTTTTTTTCTAGAAGTGGCATAGGCATGGCAAAGTGTTCTCAACCACGTTAAATTAATCAAGGTTTGGAGTTTTTTTCCAGCAACTTCAGCTTCTCCAGCTGCCCATCATTACTGTTCTCCTAGTTTATTTGTTCTTCCTTCCTTTCTTCTTTCAAACACCTCTGCAGCCCACAATCACTGCTTTTAGTATCAGTTTCCCTTCCTTCCAGGGATGGTGGCATCTTTTTGTGTGATTACACCAAAGTCACAACTGAAACACTCATTAGTCACTGAAAAAGCTTTCAAGGCATCAGTATTCTATTTTTTCACATGGAGGTGTTGTTTACTTCATGGTAAAGCTCAGAATGTTTTTCCACACATTTAACACCATCATTACTATTTCTGAGCTTCAGCGTCTCTCCTACAGTACACTATTAATGAAGGCACCAGCTGGATGGTGCCTTTGGTCTCGGTTTCTCTGTCCCTTGTGCACCTGTGTAGACAAGTGCCACCATTCTCAGACCGTCAAAAGAGACCTCCCAGTTGGACTGCCCTGACTATAGGTGCTAGTCCTGTTTTGATGTTCATCAGCGCCAGCAGAAGAGATCTGCTTTCGTCCATGAGGAGGGCCACCTGTGAAGTCATGAGAAACTGGGGAGGAAACAGGTGACCTGCTTTCACAACAGCCTTGTCACTGCCCAAAGACCTCAAAGAGCACTTGAAGGGCAGCCAAATCATAACATATATAATTGCAATTTGGCATCTCTCCACGTTGCTTTAGGTAAACTGGCATGATAAACCTTTAGGTAAACACAGCATTGGGGGGCTATTCTGGGACACTGCTAAGTGGAGTCGCAGTTTGTAAAGAACCGTGAGACCTCTCCTGTAAAAAATGCGTGCATGCATTTGACACCATGAGTCAAAAAAGATTACCAAGAGTTAACTATTTGGGTAATCGGGCAATTATCATGCAACTAATTAGGTCTGACCTAATTTCTGGAAAATAACTATCCAGGTAATCGTTTTGTTTGTTTCCTCTCTCGGAATAATTCATCAGCAAATACATTTGTTTTCTTTCTGCAAAGGTCCCATGTGAGTTGTAGCCCAAGTGGCTTCTGGTTACTTCTTTCCTAATTAAAGACCCTGTGTCCCTTTTTTCAGAAGGTGAGAAACACTGCCACTTGAGAAACACTGCCACAAAAGAAACACTTCTCTTGCCTATCAGACACAGATGGTGGTGCCTAAGGCTGCGAGCGAACTGAAGTTGTTTGCATAATGCAATCTCCACGCTTTCCCCACTCCTGCAAAGCTCAGGTTAACAGTTGCATGTAGACAAGAGTGAACAGTGTAAGCAGAGAACTATAGGTGTTAGGAATTAGGCATCCAGGATTCATGGACATTCATGGGGAGGACTCCTTAGAAGGCTTGAGGTTTTAGGATCCCTTTAGTCTCAGAAAACTAAAGGGAACTGAGGGAAGAGGTTTTGGTTTTGCATGAGACAAGATGATCATCTGCCCTATTTTAATTAATAC